AGGCTGGGTAGGGAGCGGTGCCCCTAGCCTCTGTCAGAGGGTGGAGATGGATGGCAGGAGAGAGATGGCTTGTTCAGTTCCCTCCCTCTGGGGCACCGGGCATTGGCTGCTGTGGGCAGACAGGACACTGGACTGGATGGGCCTTTGGTCTGACCCCGTCTGGCCGTTCTGATGCTCTTAAGGGTGCTGTATTCTGGATGAGTGCTGTGTGGACGCTCCTCATTTTAAAAGAAGCTAGGCAATTGACACAGCTTGCTTTTCCTAGCTCACTTCGAGTGACGCCCTGCTGGGCAGACTCACTGTAGGTGTCCTACTGGAACAGAACCGCTTTGAAACCGTCCAAATCTCCCCCCGCCTTCCCCTCCCAGGCGAACCGGTTCAGACCCAAGTCCTGTGCTCTGTAACGCAGTAGGGCCCTCTCAAACCAGGGTTAAAAGAAACTTGAAAACTGACCGTCGGCGGCCTGGGGGTGGGGAGGGGGGAATTTACAAATCGCAATGACCCAACTTTGTTCCTGGTTTAATTCCACCAAGGGCAATTCATCAGGGATGATTTGGCCCATGGTGACTGTGACGTAGGGGTGGGGGGACGGGACTTGCTGGTTTCTATGGGTCTGTGGTAACCCCACTGGCTGCCGCCGGTACCACAGCCCAGAAGGACAGGGATGGGTCACTATGCAAAGGGATCTCTCAACCGGTCTGACCAGCTACCCCCCATGGAGAGGAACAAAGGAAGGTGGATGCTGCCCTGGCTGGGGGGGCAGGGCTGGAGGAGAGTGAGTTAGTTTCTGTCTGGGAGCATGGAGGAAGCAGCCTCAGCAAAGGCTGGGGGGTTTAGAGTCCGAGACCCCTGCCCCATATCAAGGGGGGCTGAGGCATCCCAGGCCTGCCCTGTAACCTGATGACATCTGTGCTGTGCTGTATGCTGGAGAAGCCATAAATTCTGGGGGTGCAGGAGAGGGGGACCCCAACGCGCCGTCACAGTGACAAAGGACTTTCCGAAACGCTCCCAAACAACCTCCCGTCAGTAACTGGGTCTGGTTTGGCTGCGCCGGGAGAGCAGCGGCGTGAGGCGAAAGGGGCTGCTGATGGGGGTGTTTAGAAAGTGAAGGGAACAAACGCGTCTGCTCCTCTGCCCCGCCCCAGGGACGCACCAAAAGGCAAGCGAGGCGCTAAGAGCGCACGGAGAGTTGGATTTGATGCTGTTTGCATCCCGGTGCGGGTGTTAGGACCGAGGCGCCGCCATTCCTCAAATCGCCGTCTAGTTTTCCGGCGTGGGCAGGGCTGGCTTTGAACAGTAAATACAGTTCTGGCACCGTCGGGTTCCCATTTAACCCCCGAGAGCCCCGTTCTCTGCCTTCCACAGCCAAAGGAGTGGGGTTCGGAGCGCTGGCCCAGTGGCCGCGACTCCCTCCGCTGCAGCCCGTGCCGCAGGGCGGCTCAGCCGGGGTCAAGCCAGCAGGAGCCAGAGGTCACGGGCTAGCCAAGCGCTGTGGGATGCAAGAGGAGAAGCCGGTACCGGCCTAGCACGTCACAGCAGCGCAGAGTCCCGCTAGCACCAACGCGGCACCGGAGTGGTTAGCCAAGCCACCGCCCGCGGGCGGAAGACCGGACCGCTCCCTGCGCAGGGAAAGGAGACAGCGGGCCGATCGACACACGTTTTCTGGCTCTCCGTGCCTGCAAGCATAGCAAGGGAGCGCAGGGCAGCTTTAACCGCCAGCATCTGCCGGCCCGCACGCTTCTGTCCCGACAGCTGCTAGCGATCGTGCACCCGGCGCTCTGCTCGGTGCCAAACGCTTGCTCTGGCAGTTGGAGACACGGTCTGTGCGTGAGAAGGGAGCCCCCCCTCCCTCTCTTCCCCCAGGCACAAACGGTTTGACAGCCTCTCTGCTGAAACCGTATCTCCCGGCTCCTGCTCCACCAGGACACCTGACCGTTAGCGTCAGCCGGGCGCTGGGCAGGCGGGCAGCCTGGAGCTAGGGCATACCAGCCCCTGCCGGGTGCCAAGAGCGTTAAAGCTGCAGGCTCCTGCTAGGTCCATGCTGCAGGCGGTGGGTGGCGGCTGCAGATGCCAGAGGAGACAGGCAGGGCAAGCGAGGGGGAAAGTCATCCCGAAGGGACAAAAGCAGGCGGCATTACCATGTGTGACGGGGAGGCTGGGGAGAGCAAGAAGGGGACCAGTCGCTCTCCCGGGAGGCTAGGCGTTTTCCTAGTGCCTCTAGTCCCCCCGCCACGCTCTCTCCCGTCCGTGCAAGCGGCTCTTGGCTCTTCTGGCAGCTCCGCAATGAAATCCAGGCGCCCTAGAAAAGTTGCCGTGAGGCCAGGCTGGGGCAGAAGCGGCCCAGGCTGCATCAGCCCAGCCTCAGTATCTCCATCCCCT